AGTGCCACATAGCTATTCCGATGCGGGGATGGATGCTTTCAATAAGCAGGTCTTTTTCTATCCACAAAGTTCCATTTGATTGCAGACTAGTATATTGGAAATGCAACCAATTTAATCTATTTGGGATTTGTGCAAAATTATTTTCTTAAGATAAAAGGAAGAAAGAAATCCCTAATCTAACACAAGCATTATGTTTGTTCTTAATCGTTAGCTATTGGTTTATATGGAGTTTGCTTTTTTGTTTACTTTTCTTTTCATCTTCGTCAACACTTCATCAGTTGCTTTCTCCTGATTTCTTTTGTTTTTTGAATTTAGATACAAGAGGTTGAGAAACAGGTGGATAAGCTCTCCGGGCTTCTTAAAAAACTTAAGGTATGCTATTGCATATGTGCCATACATATGATTGAATTTTGTTTGGACATGCTTCTGCATTTTAATTTTTCTGGAATTGGGGTCAGATTTATCTGAATTTGATTCACTACTGGGTAAATGTTTCTGGTCTAGGATGTATTTAACAGTTAACTAGGAACTTACTTTGGATTTTTTTCTATAGGATGCAAATGAGGAGTCGAAATCTGTTACAAAAGCATCTGCCATGAAAGGTATAAGCTATTTTCTAACTCAGTCATAGTTTCAAAAGCTTGCACCCAAAACCGAAATTTCATCAATATTATTGTTCTACAAAATGTTAACTGTAAATCAGCTTGTAGTCGGCATGGATTCATTTGCTGGGTACAAAAAGTTAACTGTAGAAGTTGCAATTTTTAAGCAGACTTGCCAATTGTTGTGAACTTGGAGAAAATCTATGCTAATTGTTTCATGGTGCATTATGCTTTCTGATTTTGTTATTCTCTGCTCTGGTTGCAATACTAAGACCATTATCTATTTTCAGGAATAAAAAAGCGGATGGAAAAAGATATTGATGAAGTAGGAAAGATTGCACGTGGTGTCAAAGCGAAAATAGAAGCAATAAGCAAAGATGTAATATTTTTAAAATTCTTCTTTGATTAACCAACTTTGTCAAATATCAGTTGGCTGTTTTCGGTTTTGCTAATGACTGCCCTTATCCTTTCCCCAGAACTTAGCCAACCGACAAAAACCTGGATGTGAGAAGGGAACTGGTGTTGATAGATCACGTATGAACATGACAAAGTTAGTAGAGAGTACTTGAATTTAATGTTTTTAGAGTATTTAATTCTGTATGTTGGACTGATGGTGAGCAAGTTGACTTATAATCTACTTTTTCTGTTTGGCAGTTCGTTGACAAAAAAGTTTAGGGAGATAATGGTCGAGTTTCAGGTATATGTATATAAATTCTGCTTGTTACCTTTGGTCTCATTTATCTCCACACTTTTTTCGCTCATCAACGTTTTATATTTCAGACCCTCAGACAACGAATCCAAGATGAATATCGTGAGGTTGTGGAGAGAAGAGTCATTACAGGTTAGCATGCCTTTTCAACACAAACAAGTAGAACTTACAAACTACATATTAAGACAATGTGTCATAGTTCTATCATCATATTTGTTATTGGGTGATCATATGATTCATATCTTTACACATTACACTTGCAGTTACGGGAACCAGACCAGATGAAGAGGTGAGCGGGTTTCTGATTACTATTTGAGCTTCAAATTATATTATTTTGAATGTGTTCCTAATCCGCCTAATATGTGGACTGTATTAGACAATTGACAACCTAATAGAAACTGGAAATAGTGAGCAAATATTCCAAAAGGCAGTTCAAGAACAGGGACGAGGACAGGTATACTTCTTTTGAGTATTGTTCTATCTGATTTTGAGATTTCCCTTCCACTTTGGAAAAATTTGTGAGAATTAAATCAGGTACTCTGATTACAGGTACTAAATACAGTGGAAGAAATTCAAGAGAGGCATGACGCCGTGAAGGAAATTGAGAAAAAGCTTCTTGACTTGCATCAGGTATGTTTGCCGTAGCATGAGGTTTGGTCCATCTACCTGAGAAACTAACCTTTCTAATATGATTTTGTTTTAAATTTTCAGATCTACCTTGATATGGCAGTCTTGGTCGATGCTCAAGGAGAGATTTTAGACAATATCGAAACTCAGGTTTAATTCTACTTTTGCATCCTTGAACATATGTTCGGTCATGCCTATAAGTTAGCTGCATGTGTAATTGCGCAGTCCTTTGTGTTGTGTTGTGTTGTGTTGTGTGTTGATGGGAATCTTATCCAGGTTACAAATGCAGTCGATCATGTTCAATCTGGGAACACTGCGCTTCAAAAAGCAAAGAAACTCCAGAAGAACTCCCGAAAATGGACGTGCATTGCAATCATTATTCTGTTAATAATAGTAGCTATAATAGTCGTTAGCGTCCTCAGACCATGGAAAAGTGGCTAAGGGTGCTTGAGTTTGCCCTTGTCTCTTCACCGTGTAATATAGGCGGGTTGGCTGGGAGGTTAATTTTTTGGTTTCACGTCTGTGAGGACCGGGAGAGTGTCTTTACTTCTTTGGTTGCTTTCTTCTTCTTTCTTGGCTATAAGTGTTTTATCTTGTGTGTATTTTTGTGAAATTTATTGATGGTGGTGTGTCTGCATTTCAGACTACGAATTGAAAACGATTGTAAATTTGTCCTTCGGCAAAGCATTTTAATTTCGTTGCAGTATTTGACGCTCTCTCATTGAAAAGATTCACTCTTTGTTTCTTTACGTTTTCAAATGTTTGGACAAATAGTAGGCATGCTTAATAAAAACATATTATAAATTTAAAAAAGGTTATTTTTCCTCACGTAACATATTAAAAAAATGGATTTTTTTTTTTCAATAATGTTATAATATTTTAGAATTTTAATTTGATCTAATCTATCTTTAAGCAAGTTTTAATATATTAATAATCCTGTCTTTAACTAAGTTTTTATGTTAATAATCTATCTTACAAGCAATTTCTAAACTTGTTTTTATATTTTTTTATGTCATCTTATTAAGAGAGAGATTAAATTGTGCACGTATTTATATTATATGCCAATTTGTCACTTTCCATTTCATCCCCTTCGTGAATCAAAACCAAAAATTGATTAGATATGATTATTCTTCAAGAAGGTTGTAGGTAACCCTTTGTCTCCTAGTCTTTTGCAAAAATGGCCTCCCTTTTCTTTTGGTGGATGATGAAGATAATGGAAATGGGTTCCATGCCTAGTTGTCACCACCTCTAAAATTGCAAGCGAATCCATGCAACCTAGTGCAAGGTGACATCTTGATTTCTTTTGGTGGGGGGTTGGTGTGTGCAAGGTGACATCTTGATTTCTTTTCTTTTTTTTTTGTTGGGGGGGGGGGGGGGGGGTTGCGGGGGGCGGGGATGATATTTTTGTTTTTGTATGAGCCGATTTTCTTATCAGGTGCATTTAGGTTTCATTACGAAACAGTAAGACTTACTATCAATCGTGCATGTTGTGAGAGAAGTTATACATAACTCGTGAATTCAGCTAACTTTTTTTTTTTTTCAAGTTCTAGCCTATGCCTTGTCTATTATACCTTTAACACAATAATTGATATTCTTCATTTTTTTTCTCTCATGCTAAGATTCCAATTCAGGAGAGATTTTCAATGTGTTCGAAATATGGGGAGGTATGCTATGTTATTATACAAGTGGAGGAAAAAAAAATTTCAAGTGCCCCTTCACTTATAAAATGACATATGGTATATGCGTCTATGTTCCGAGTACATTGAAAAATCTCTCCCAATTCAACTAGTAGTGGAATTTGATTATACATATAATGATTAAAGTTTTTTAGGGTGGTTAAGGTTTCAAACTAAAATTACTACTCATAATTTAATTTCTATTTGTGCTTATGTGAGTTGAGCTAACAAAGTGAAGATTTTTGCATATGCATATGGTTGAACACGTACATGCATATATATATATATATATATATATATTATACTAATGTTTTTTATTCAAAAATCTAATATGTTACGTTGCCAATTTATCATGCCCACATCTTTATACATAATTTTACTTTAGGGATTAATTGTTTTTATTGATTGTGTAACAAGATACCTTAAAACCCTCTTACATAATTTTAGTTTACTTAATTAATTGTTGTTATTGATTGTGCAACAAGATACCTTAAACCCTCTTACTTGTTCATTTATGACATTAGTTGAACTTTAGAAATTGGTTATGTGTTGGTAACTTGGGTTGACTTGGCTTGGGCTCATAATTAACCAACACTTCTTATTAGAACTGTGTATCAACATAAAATTTGGTTTGGGCTCTTTTACCAGTTTGTTCATGTCAATGTTTGGTTGCCTTTCATCTAACAAGTCTAACTCACTCAGCATCATTAGGGTTTGGTTGTATAGTACAAACACACGTATTCAATATAAATACTTATAAATACTATTATCATAGCCTATTGAGTGGTGTAGAATCACTCCAAGGACTTACTACATCATCTGGTTGGTTTAATATACTAGATGGTGGCTTGTTTGTAAATATTCGTACTTAATTTGCACTTGTACTCTAAAAGATTATATCAAGTCCGATTAGTACAAACATGTAGTCAATTAGACCTAGAAATATAATTGAACAAAATTCATTTGGCTTAGAGCCTTAGACTATTGGAAAACGCATGCGTTTTGTTTATGGTTGTAATATGGAAACATGCATGCTGAGTAGGTATTATTTGTTTTTGGTACACAGGTGACAAATGCAGTGGATCATGTACAATCAGGGACTGTTGCCCTACAAACTGCAAAGAGCTTGCAAAAGAAGTCAAGAAAATGCATGATGATTTCCATAATCTTGCTCTTGATTATTGCATTGATCGTCGTACTCTCTATTCTCAAGCCATGGAAGAAGTAATTACCACCGCATGCAAGGTTGACAATCTTATCTTCCATTAATCACATACATCTCACTGTATGTTATCATCACTCATAATAATTACAAGTGCAAGGCTGTGAAATGTTTAAGAAAGTTAACTGACTCTCTAAAATATGTGTACGACACACTTTGGGCAATCTCGAAAAGTGCCATGTATGCGTCTGTGTTGGGCACTTCATATCCTAAAAAATTGAAGTGTATATGCAACATAATGCACGACAGACAATTATAAGTAAATTATGAGAAATTAAGAACAAAAGATTCATTAATTTTCTTTTGCTCAGCATGTTTCATAAGCCATCTATTTCAAGGAATTACGGTTTATGCAAAAACTTCAACAAAGAGAATGAGGAACATAGCGTTAAATAGGAAATGGAATGATATATTTCTAACATAGGGAAGAATATCCCATAATACATTACACAAGAACAAGTTTGGTCCTCACATTTGTGACTAATAAAAGTACACTAGAATGCACTAGCCACCAGGTAACAAAAACAAAAAAGTATACCCAGAAAGGCCAATCACCTGCATTATATACTATTGCAGCACATTATTCTACACCAGTTCCCACAATATATGAGCTGGATAATGTCCCAAAGTACTCTAGACCAAACTCCATTCAAGTGCTTCTCTCTCTTTTTTCTCTTACATTCTTGCCTTGGCAATCATAACATTGCCTTCACTTAGATCAGTAGTTCCTGGCCTGGTCCATGATTCTTTGAATTGCTCTTCAGTCACTCCTGAAAAAGTAAAATGAAACGTATAAGTTACCAATAACATTTTCAAATGTACTAAGAGAATTTGAATATAGGATAGATGCAGGTTAGCCAGTTGGTCAGGGCAGTAGGTCTGGCTAGGTTAATATATATGTCCCATTGCAGTGGAATTTGAATTGGCATGTCCGGGTAGGGCAGTGTGCACACCCATGCATTGTAGTTCGAATCCATCTTCTCATGAATTAGGATAGTATATAATTAGAAAACTAGAAACTAGAATGACTTGCCTTTGCCCATAGCAGCAGTGGAGGAAATGCCTCCCTGGACAGTCTTGAGGTACCTATCATAGAAATTAGCACCAGACCATTTCTGATGAGCAAGTGTGTCAACTCCATTGTTCCTCTCCTCCCTCTGGATCCTCTCAACATAAGCCAGCATTCCCCTCCTCGCGTAGTCCCTCGCAAAAGTATCGACCACAAGCGCATCTGCGTGGAAACCAGCCAGTGTGATAAACTGCCAGCAGTAGCCAAGCTTGGCAATCCGAGGAATAAAGTCCATCATTTGCTGATCATTCATCCCAGATGCATCCCAGTTGAAAGATGGTGAAAGATTATAAGCTAACATGATTTCAGGCTGCTTATTCTTCACCGCCTCAGCAAATTGGGTGCACTCAACCATATCAGGGCTCGAAGTCTCCATCCAAATAATGTCAGCGTGGTCAGCAAAAGCCCATCCACGCACGACAGCTGCCATCACAGACCCTTTGAACCTGTAGAACCCTTCTCTTGTTCTAGGCAAGTCCCAGTCCCAGAAAAGGTTCTTAAGCCCCAACTTCTCAGTGATTTCGCACGCTTGCTCATTCGACAAACACTTTTCAGGACTAGAATAGCTCATCCATTCACTCAATCTCCTCCTTTTTTCGTGTTTGCCAAGGTTCATGGCCTTGATTGCATCAGTGACACATTCTGAAAATGTCTTCAGCTGTGCCATTGAAGTCCAGTTGTCCTCGACGGCCTGCAGCTCAGCTCCTGTTTTGCCAGCGGCCATTGCTTCAGCCAAAAGGGTAGCCAAGCTCTTCCCTCTAAGATTTGGGTTCGAAGCCCCCAATATAAACTGATGATCCCTAGTGTCCACATTGGTCTGGATCAATGTAGCTGCAACCGCATCGGTTCTAGCCACCAATACAGTCTCAGTTCCCATAACATCAAATTGTAGCCTTGCAGCCACAAGTCTGTTAATATGTTCACTAACAGCAACAAGCACTTTCCCAGCCATGTGACCGCATTTTTTTGTCACTGATGACTGGTCCTCAATGTGAACACCAGCAGCGCCTCGCTCCACGAAAAGCTTGCAAAGCTTAACAGTCGCCGTGGTGCCACCAAAACCGGTGTCACCATCAGCAATGATTGGCTTCAAGTAATCAACATAAGGGGTTCTAGCCCTCTCCTCCCGGCTCATGCTCATCCTTGCCTCCTTTTGCTTGCGGTCATGGTATTGTTGAGCGAAAAACAAATGCTCCACCTTGTTTGGGACCGTGTCATAAGGGTAGTCAGCAAGGTCGGGGCCAGGCTCATTGGTGCTGGTGTGTGTGGACGAACATTGCCAACCAGAGACGTAAATTGTGTCCAAGTGCTTGGCCATCATGGTGACCTGGACGGGGTCTAGGGCACCAAAAGTCCTTGAGGATGTGCCATTGGCTTGGTGAATTTTGAGAGTTCTCCACAGCTTTTTGGCCATTTCATTGGAGCCATAGCTTTGTCTCAGGGTGCCTCTTAGCGCCGCAACGTCTCTAGCTGAGTATGGTCGTTTTGTGAGCTTGAACCTTTCTGAGCCCCACCATGCCTGCACCTCCGCGACTTCTGCCTCAAACCTTCCTTCTTCTTCCATTATCTGTATACACAATTCTCACTAGTTACGAACATGTGGAAAACCAATTTGCGTGCCTAATTTTTTAGCTCATCATTTAAATTGGAAATTCATTCACTTTTGTATTCCAATATCTAGACTTAGTGCTGACCAAAATTTTATCGAGGTACGGTTCTTCAAAACAACAACTGCATACATAACCAATATATAGAGAAATGTAATTTTAGGACATAATATTCCGTAGAAGAATGCTATACTTTTTACTTATTAGCAAATTTATCAACTTTTAAGTGTGCTAAGCTCCTCTTTGACCAAATTTACCCCTGTATCTTTAATTCAACTGGCAACAATTCCTTGTAGACTAACTGTGACTGGGGGATTCAAGTGTTTCAATTTAATTACCTCTCTTTTTTAATCACATTGACTCTGATTAAAGGGTCTAGCTCTCGGCGCAGTAGAAAAGGTGTGAGACCTTCGAACAATAATAGGTCTCACACCTAGATCCTGTTACTATGGGAGTTCATTACACGACCTCAAGATAGAAGTTTGTTTGGTGATGAGGGCTACAAAACCTACATATATAAACCATGAATCAACACAGAAAAACTAGGCAAAACCAAGGACATGAAACCGAATATATAAGCGTTTTAACACCATTATAATGTACTACAGAAATAGCTCAAACTTAGCAAATTCCTAGTAGAGACTCACTAGCAAAGACAACTATTAGAAAATTGGAGGAAACGAAATGGGAGGAAGGCTGTTTATGGCTTACAATTGAAGGCACTGAGTAAGATGCAGCCATGGCTAGAACTTGTTTTGGTATATGAGCTTTGTTAAACAATGACTAGGAGGAGTTGAGGAACCTCCTCCAAAGTCCCCTACATTTATAACACCTAGTGGGGAGGTAAGAATTCTTGTGACATTGATAAAACTCTACCCTTGCGGATAAGAAAGAAACAAAATTCAAGAAATTTCCACTGTGCTTTCTCAAAATTAATTTCAAATTTTTATAAATTGTAATAAATATATTCATTGTTATCTTGCAGAAAAAGAGCGAAACTTGTCCCATGGGAGCAGCATTCGCAGGCACGTAGGGTGATGGCATGCACTTCTCTAACTATCCTGTGTCACCATGCTTAATTGTCTTGTTCTTCCAATTTGGAAATGACATCACTATTTTTAATTATTTCAGATTATGAATAACTGATTCTGTTTTTCTGTTTTATATTATTATTGTTTTGTTATCCAACTGCCTCAGATGTGTCTAGGCGACACTTAATTAATCTCCAGTTTGCTTTCTGGTTTCTACCGATCAACTATGTTAGCTAGCGCACCGATCAACTATGTTAGCTAGCTCTAGCTATATATTCATGCTTGCGTACTATCTCAGTATACTAAGGCATGCACTAGCCACTATATAAAATGGTATTAATGGGCTGAATAGTTCCTCTACTCATGGTAAACAACTTGAGAAGCTAGGACTAGGAATAACTGTAATTTCCAAATAAACAAAATCACAATGATCATGGTATAGGTGTTTATCATTTATCGTGATGTACAATGTTGGTTCGTTTCGGAAAGGGATCCTTTCCAGATCCCTTCCACCAAATCATCAAATCAATTAATTCTAGCCTCTGAAATTTGATCAAACGGCTATAAACAGGGGGCCTTTTTAAAAGTTATAATAATTTTACCCGTTAGATCAAATTTTAAAAGCCCGAATTAAGTGATTGGGTGAATTTGATGAAAGGAATTCGAAGAAGATCCCTTTATATTCGTTTCTTGTAATCTTGTTAAAAAAGAGTAATTGTTTAAAATGAAGTTGATAAGATTCGTGATTTATTTACTTAAAAAAAGCTATTCATAATTAGTTGCATGTGAATGCAATGAGATTGGGTCGAACATTTATCACATTCATCCTCCAGTGAGCGAAGAGTGCTGCTAGGGAGATTAAATTTGGAAATTCAATTTGTAAATTAAATGATATGTCACTAATATGAATAAATATATTTATCAATGTTTAAATAATAAACCAATCATTAATTTTTATGTTTTTTAGTTTTCAAAACTTTATCTCTAAATTTAATCTTTCTAGCATTACGCAAAAGTGAAATCACAAATTCTGTTAGCTACCACAGTTAGTTTGTCGGTTTTGTCCTTCAATCGCCTTGTTCTACGATTTTGCTTTTCTGGGTAATGAGTGTCTCTCCAAGTGTCAACGTAGAACATGTGCCACAGTCACAAAGCCGTGACAGATATAGATAAATACACACGGAGCCTGTAACATTACATGCATGTGTCAGTACATCTGAGACGCATATGGATAACTGAAGAGAAAACTTAATTTGTTTTGCGTCGTATTAGGTCGAACTTTCCCTTGTATGCAACTTCTTCAGTTCTCAAATATGTGTATATTTTACTCCTTACCCTTCGACTGGGTAAAAAGGGTTCTTGGGGATTAAGTAATTACATATATAAAGATTCGTTTTATTGCGTAAAGAGGGCTGCAATAGTGAGTTTTTTTTTTTTTTTTTTTCTCAAAAGATATCTCTACAAGAGTTTGTTAGATTGGTGGTGGTGAGGAAGGGTACTTAAAAGAGCACAGTTGTAAGAATTTCTACCTAGCGCCGCCCTTCGCTGTTAGTAGATGATGATGAGTATCAATGAAGGGTGCTTAAGAGCACTATTCTAAAAATTCTTGTCTAGCACCACTTAGGTCCCACTTAAGCACTAGGCATGTAGTTGTCTATCGTCCTGATTAATTCTTAGGCATTGAAAAATTAAGCACCGCTTAGGTCGCAGCTCTCACATATACAAAAAATAGATAACTTTCATTATGTATTTATTTTTTCAATAAATTGTAGAGACATGTTGAATACTAGATGAACATTTATTATGTGTTTGTTCCTTTCTATTTGTTTTCAATATATTCTAATATCTTATAATGTATATGTCATTCAATTTTGCAATTTATAAATACCAATAATATTATGTGTTTTCTAGTAGAAGTAGACATTTATTATATTTTATATAATAAATTTAAATAAAATTCGACAATATAACACTGGCAGAGGAATATATATTGACATAACTGTACGGTACTTCAGACATGAAAGTTCCTATAGCCTAATCATTAATTGGGTCATCAGATATAAGATGTGTATTGTTCGTCTTTGAAAATTTTAGATTCACTATTTGACAATACAAGTCTGGCAAGAGAATTTTGACGTAACTGTATGGTATTTTAGAGATGGATTTTTTTTTGTCTAATCATTATGTCATCGGATATAGATGTTGATTGAATTATCATCATCGAGAAATTTAAATTTATTCTTTACCTATATATATATATATATGGCATGAGTAACTGTATCTCTAATATAATTATATGATTTGAGATAATGTAAAAGGAAAGGAGAAGGGTTAATAATTATATGATTAGAGCCATGGAAGAAAGAAGTTTGAATTAGAGGTGGCGCATCCACCATGACATATGTAACCAGGATAAGATTGCTATCTAGTTAAGGAGATAGGGTTATCCACTTTCACCTAGCTCCTTGGGATCCGAAACCATAACTTTTAAGCAAGGTTTTAAAAAAGCGTTAAGTTCCAGTTAGGTAGGGGCGCTAAGCATGACTTAATGCCTAGGCATCTAAGCATGATTTAAGGGCAACTTAGGGTTGTTTTTCATCTAAATCTCTTGACCAATACGAAATCATTCAATATTCAATGTTGACTGACTGACATTTCTCTAATATGATTTGCTCAGATTGTAAACATAACCTAATACATAACTTTTCTACTGTGGTATATGGGTTGCCAAGTTGGCAATTATATGCGATGTCTACGGTGGTTAATCTTGGTGATGTATAGAAAAGTAAGAATAGGATGATAACGTATGTGCATGCATACACGTCATGGATATGGAGGGGATATATTTGCACCATCTGAATGACGATGCACCAGATCAGGATACTGGATTGAGATAGACATATATTGTGAGGAACAAAGCCTCCTTTGGGAATTGGGGGATTGGCAAAAGAACATTGATAATCTTCACAATGGGTGACATAATAGAGATCGAGCTGGGACTCAACTCGTCAACTTATTTCCAGTGGTCCTCGATTGCTGCTGCCGCTAATCCTTACAGGGCACGGCATATTTGGATTTTGAGCACTTCGAGGTGAAACAAAGAACCTTCTCATCTCACATGTCATTGGATATCCCTCATTCCCTTTTCCTTTTCCAATAATTATATATATATTTTTTTAATGAAATTATCTTCGACAGGTTACATATGTCTGTCAATATTAAGCAATGCGAATTACAACTTAATTGATTAGTGAAAAAATAGTGCAAATAGTTTTACCTTGCAAATTTATCGATATAGTTACTAAATTCATGTAGCGTCACATATATATAGGTTGTAATCTAAGATTTATAATGTGTCTGAAAAGAAAGAATTTTTTTTGTTATTCAAGCGATATATCATGGTAAATTCTTTTAGAATAATACATGCATTCGCTCATGAAAGGAATACATATGTTTGACCATTTACAAATAACTATCTTCGCCTAATAAATTTTATAATCAGAACCGTTCAATTTCTTAATCTTCATTTGAAGATCTATTCCTATAAAACATTTGAATTAGAGATCATTTATGCATCTAAATGTATAGAAAAAAAAAAAAAAAGATGGTGTAAGCATCAAGTAACATAAAATTCATGATGACTAAACAAATTAATGTTTGTTTTTATTTTTTTTATTTTTTTGTAAGAATATCTTGAGATAAATATTGAAAAATTGAACATAAAATGTATACAATGAAGCTAGGTTACACCTTTAGAATACCCCACGCTAACTGCTTATTTACAAATAATGAAATATGTTTATTCCTCTTATGGGGAATTAAGTATTAATCATTTATTCATGTTTCTAAGAGCTAGTTTAGGATTGCTATGATTTTTTTTCAAACTGCTTCAACTGTGCTTTAAGAATAATCTGTTGTAAAATAAATCAATGTAGCATTTAATAAATTATATTCTTAAAACTGTCGTGAGTATGAAAAGCAATGTAAAAGCATAGCGTTTGACAAATTTTAATGTAAGTAATATAATTGTATATGTTAAGCAAATCATAGTAGAGGGTGGTGGCAGCAGTGGGGTCATGGGCATTGGCAAAAAGGTGGGCGTTGTGGTAGTGGCAATAATAGGGTGTGTTGGTTAGGATCTAGAGGTAGCAGTGGTGGCGATAATGGTGGAGGACGCAGTGGCGCTGCTGGCAACAATGATGGTGGTGGTGACAATGATGATGGTGGTGTTATTTAAGGGATAAAGTGTTTATACAAAGATAATGTCACTCTTAAACTATGAGAATATTACAGGAGTTGAAAATCTGCATTAAAGGCTCATCTTCACTTTTTATGAAAATAGCTTTTAAAAGTTGTTATCTAGAGCCACTTAGTACTACGATCTAATGATATTTTTCTCCACTTGTAAGTGAGAGGTTTTAGGTTCGATTCTCACCAAATGCGAGTTGGAATCACATTATTGCTAGCTCATTGTAAGGCTAAGCTCACATCTCCTCATTAGTGTAGATAATATCGTTTGGGTTGCAATTAGATTAGGAATGTGATTGTGTAAATCCTAACATATTTAGGGATATCTTTTATATTCCCTTTAGTAGTTAATTACCTATTAGAGTTGTAATTCTAAAAGGGTAAGGAATTAACCTTCCCTACTACTATAAATAAAGGCACAATGGGGTGGAATAGAACACACCTCACAATTACACATCTCTCTCTTCTCTCTACTATTGCTGCACCCCTCTCTGTATGGCCTCCATAATTGTTCAATAAATTATGCCTACAGCACATTATTAGCATGTTGTTGATGTTATGCTAAAGAGAGTTTATTCTTCAATCAGTGGAGTATTACGTTTTAATCATTCTCTTTATGATCTACATGCTATTGATTCAATTTAAT